GAAGGACTGTATACTAGCAGTCAGGAGGCTAGCTTTCAGAATGTGCCCTTTGGTTGTTTAAATGATCATGTATCCCTGCATGTGTGTTTTTGTTTGGTTTGTTTGGCATATCAAGTAGAAAGAAGAAAAAAGGGGGGAAGGGAGGTTCTTGATCAAAGAAACAATCTATGATGGTTTTGAGGGGAGGAGGAAATTATACATGCACTAGAAGGTAGACACACATTGACATGGGTGATGGGGCAGACAGTGTACAACTGGAGGGAGATTGGCAGAGGAAAGATGGAGGTGGCGGGAGATAGCAGGGAGGAATGCAGTGGTTAAAGTGAACAGAGGTAAATGCTATTAACTGTTGGTGCATGCAGGAGATGCAACCATGTAATGAAGCAAAGTATGTGATTTGTTGGTTGTGGAACTGATGATCTGCTCTGTAGACCTTCACTCAATTCACAATAAAAAGTTTAAATAAATAGAGAGATTCTGAAACTTGCTTTAGAATGTAGAGAAGTTAAAGGAACTGGAAAAATGATGAAGTAAAAGAACTCAACAGAATATTTCAAAGGGTAGCTGGAGAAGACAAAGTAAGGTATTATAATGAAATGTACAGAGACCTGGAGTTAGAAAACCAAAAGGAAAGAACATGCTCAGCATTTCTCAAACTGAAAGACTAAAGAAGACTTCAAGCCTCAGATTTTAATATTTAAGGATTCTATGGGCAAATATTGAATGATGCTGGAAGCATCAAAAGAAGATGGAAGGCCCCTGCTCCAAGACTGACACTCAAAAGGAACACATGAGCAGGCATGTAAACTTGCTGGTAACCATGTTGGTCTATTGGTGAGTGGAAGAGGGGGAAAGGCAGCAATGAAGAAATTGGCTGAGTTCAACCACAGTCCATAGGCACCTGTTGACCTAAAGATGAAAGAAGAGGGGTTGGTTGGTCTGAAGCATGGTGAGACCTGGGGCCTCCTGAGCCCATGGACAAGGACGTAGCCACAGAAGGCTAGAGCTGAGAGTGAAGCATCCAGCTGATATGAAGTGAGGGGAGATGCACAAGAACACCCAAACTTGCAGACAGTACCCATTTGACCTAGCCTTGATGGGTTGATAATCAGAACTCAACTAGAGGAAGATTAAAAAAAACAATTTTTGATAAAGGAAACAAAAGTAAAGTGCTTAAAATAAATAAATAAATAAATTGCTACAATTTGATGAACGTGACCTATACTTATGACTCAAAATACCAACTGAGAGGAAAAGAGTCTTCACATCAAGTATCAATGCTGCACCCTCTGTATACAGGGTAGATAGGGATGGGCAACTTAGGCATTGGCTACTTGAAATAAGGGGACGATACAGGCATGAAGTTTACGAATCAGGCTGCGAGCTACAAGGTCAGCAGTCCGAAACTACCAATTGCTCCGCAGGAGAAAGATGAGGCATTCTGCTCCCGTAAAGGTTAACAGCCTCAGAACCCCTGTGCAGGGTCGCTATGAGTTGGAACTGACTCCACGGCACATAACAACAACAACAGGCATGAAGTGACTGGCTTACAAGTTTTCAAGAGGGAGTTTAGTTTAAGAGTGTGCAGGGGAAGGTAGAGTCCCTATTGAATAGTTTTCATCTTGTCTAGACGGGTCTGGTGAAAGAAGATGAGGATAAGATTCTTATGATTCAGTAATGAGTAATTGTTATCATGACTAATTGTGACTGTCACAACTGTAAAAGTAGAAGTATTGTAACAAAAAGGGGGGAGTAGTTAATCTTACAGTACAGAAACAGAGGATCATAGGACCATCAAGAGAAAAAAGCGCAAGCAGAGTGCGGGACCCTATCCAGAGAAGCAGCGACACCAGTGATGGAGACAGAGATGAGGACATGGAGAAAGGGAGTAGCTGAGGACGCTGGACTCATGGAAAGAAAGGGACTGGGTACTGGCAACCAGGAGGCAGTCTTGCAGAATGTGCCCTTTGGTTGTTTAAATTATTATATATTCCTGAGTGTTCTGTGTACATCTCCCCCAAACAAAGCAAAACAAAACAGGGAATGGAAGTAAGTACTATTGAATGATGATTCACAGAGGAGACTGTAATCATTGCAATGAAACAATGGTATAAAGCCGATGTTCTCCTGTGTAAACTATCACTCAGTTCACAATAAAAACTTATCCCCCCCCCAATTTTTTTTTATCTTCAGATAAATAAAAACTGAGTGTTTGTTATAAAAAAAAATCTTACAAAAATATTAAATGAAGTTTTTTACACTGAAAGTTACAGAGAAGAGATAAAGTTCAATGAAGAAGGTAATTATGCAATTGTAGAAGACAGTACAAATACCTATTTCTTCTCCTTTTCTCTCAACTGATTTAAAAACCAATTGTATAAACACCAGATGGTAACTCTAATACACCGGGAATAAAATGGAACCAGAAATTGTAAATAAAGTGGTTAATATAAGAAGATTTATAGAAGAAGGAGAAGAAGAAGATGGAAGGATTACACAATGTCACTGCACCAGACAGAATTGGTCAAGGTTTGCTCATTTCAAGATGTGCCATATGACCAAGAACTGATGGTATTGAAGGAAGACATTTAAGTTATGCTGAAGACATCAGCAAATAAAAGGTCCAGGAAATGTTGGAAGATAAATTAAAATGTTTCAACAAATTGATGCAGTGCTGGAAGCACTGATTTGTCTGTGCCAGGATTTTTGGAATACAGCTACTTGCCCAACCCATCAGAAGACATCCATATTTGTGCCCACTCCAAAAAAAGGTGTCCCAACAGAATGCCAAAATCACTAAACAATATCATTAATATCACATGCAAGTAAAATTTTGCTTAAGGTAATTCAAAAAGGATTGCATCAAAAGAAAGTCAAGCTGGATTCAAAAGATGAGATAGAATGAGGGCATTCATTGCTGACGTCAGATGGATCTTAGCTGAAAGCAGAGAATACCAGAAAGATGTTTAATTGTGCTTTATTGATTGTCCAAAGGCTTTTGACTTTTTGAATAATAACAAACTGTGGATAAAATTGTGAAGGATGGGTATTCCGGAACATTTAATTGTGCTCATAAGGAATGTATACATAAACTAAGAGGCAGTTGTTTGAACAAAACAAGGGGGCACTGAATGGTCTAAAATCAGGAAAGGTGTGTGCCAGAGTTGTGTCCTTTCACCATATTTAATAGAGTCCTGGTGTGGCGCTGTGTGTTGATACGTCAGACTGCAAAGCTGCTTGAACTGCAAGGTCGGCGATTCAAGCTCACCAGCTGCTCCTTGGAAACCCTATACAGGGTCACTATGGGTCGGAACCAACTCTGCAACACTTAACAACAACACAACAACAACATTCAGTCAGTATGCTGAGCAGATAATCTGAGAAACTGGATTACATGAAGAAGAATGTGGCATCAGGATTGAAGAAAGACTCATTAACAACCTGTGATGTGCAGATGACACAAACTTGCTTGCTGGAATTAAAGAGAATTTAAAATACTTGCTGATGAAGATCAAAGTATAGATTGTACCTCAATGTTAAAAAAAAAAAAAAATCTTCACAACTGTAGCAATAAATTAAATCATTATAAATGGAAAAAAAGATAGAAATTGTCAAAAACTTTATTTTGCTTGGATCCATGATCACCACTCATGGAAGCAAAAGTCAAGAAATCAAATGATGTATTAGACAAATTTACTGCAAAAGACCTTTAAAATGTTAGGAGCAAAGATGTCACTTTGAGAATTAAGGATTAAGCTTCACCTGATCCAAACTAAATTTTTTTATCACCTCATATGCATGTGAAAGTTAGATAATGAATAATGAAAACTGAAGAATTGATGCATTTAAATTCTGATGTTGGCAGAGAATATTCAACAAATACCATGAACTGCCAGAAAAAGAAACAAATCTGCCTTGGAAGAATCACAGCCAGAATGCTTCTTAGAAGCAAGGATTGCAAGATTTCCTTTCAAGTATTTTGTACATGTTTTCAGGATGGACCAGTCCCTGGAGAAGAATATCATGCTTGGAAACATGGAGGATCAGTGAAAAATAGGAAAAGACCTCCAATGAGATGGATTAACATGGTGGCAGCAACAATGAACTCAAGCATAGTTGTGAAGATGGACCAGGACCAGGACCAGGACCAGGCAGTGTTTGTTCTGTTGTACATGTTGTTTTTAAGTGTCTTCAAGTTGATTCTGATTCATGGTAACCCTATACACTATATAGGGTTTCCAAGGAGAAGCTTGTGCTGTTGGGGTTGAACTGATCTTACAGTTTGCAGTCCAATTCTTATCGTAAAACACCACTCCATGACTCCTTTGCATTGGCTCGCTATGAGTCAGAATCAACTCAGCAGCACCTAACAACAACAATAGTTATAGATATTTACTCAGTGAGCCTGGCCTTGCAAATATTTCCCACATAGTAGTAGCTGGAGAATATAGACTAGTCTTTAATACATGCTTTAATCCTGGAGTAAGTAAATTCCCTGGAATCAATAGATAATTGTTTAGTGGCACAAGAGGCATCGAAAGAATTTAGCTATTATTAATTTGTTAAGGTATGCCATAGTTTTGAAAGGATAGAATATATATTTCCTTATCCACAGAATTTTCAGTTTTGTGCAGCATTCAGAGCCAATTCATGCATATTAAAATTTCTGTATTCTATCTTTGGAGTAATCTTGCTTAATTCACAAATGAACTTTTCAAATGACACATTTACTTAAGGGCACATTTTCTTTATTGCCAGCAGCCCAGCAGCCCATGGGGATGGTTCTTAGAAGTGTAGCCACACTCCCACACAGCTTCCAGTGTAAGCAGCAGTACACCTTCTAAGAGTGACTCACAAAGCTCAGGCCAACAGCCTCTGAGATCACCAGGCCGAAAGCCCAGGGTGACTCCGGCTGAGGTGCAGGGCATTTGTACCTGGATGATCTCATTGGCACAGTGCTTTAAAGAGCTGAGCTGTATAACATATGTCTTTTCTTTCAGGTGACTCCTGTGCCCATCTTGAGGGCAAAGCCTCCTCTGGGGAGCACTCATTGTATGCCCAGTCCTCCTCTAGGAAAACCAACAAAGAGCACCTTGAGAGTTCCACTTCAGAATGTCCTTCTTAACACATCTGACAGTAAGCAACCCAAGACTGTGGATGTGGAAGCCTCACAACAGCCTAGCAGCAACGAAAAGCTCGGAACCACCAGCCAGAAAGCAGAGCCCATTTGCATGGGCCATTTCCACAACCGCCACATCTTCCAGCAACAGCTGATTGAGAAGCAAAAGAAGAAACTTCAGGAACAACAGAAAATAATTCTGGAGCTGAAGGAAAGCCAGAGGCTGGCAGAGGCTCGGTGGGCAGCAGAGCATGCCGCAGCAGTCACAGATACACAGAGCCGCCTGCTGTCAAATCCCAGAGAAGAGAAACCCAAAAGAACATGCCAGATGCTTCTTAAGTATGTCCACTGTATCAGAGCACAATTTAGACTGGTTGTTTGGGCTTTTTACTATGGACTTCTTTGCCCTGCTTCCAGATTCTGTGATCTTTACTTTTTTCTTCTTTTATTTTACACTCAAAGCAAAGAAGCCATGTACATTGTTATTGATATGTGATAGCTGTTAAGTAGGTATTTAAGGCAAGTGGCTGTATATCGGGATCCGGTTATATAGGTAGCATTTGTAGCATAGCTACTTTTTGTCTGAAGAGCTCTGTTACTATAAAAATAATTACTTGCTCTAACTAGGTTTCTGGGTTTCTGACTATGTTTAGTGCTGAGAAGCTAGGTCAGGCAATGTCAGGTCCAAATGGAGCCACCTTAGGCTGGCTAATTACCTAGTTTAAATGTCAAGTTGTTTGAGTGAAACTAGATAGCACTAGCTGTTTGGGGCCTGAAATAAAAATTTAAATTTCTCAAAAGTCATTTAGAACTGTTTCAAATGTGCTTGAGACAAACAGTACATGTGATTTAAAAAAAAAAAAAAAAAAAGATCTTTTTAAAACGTAGAATAAGAAATACTTACTGCTTTGAAACACTTGGATGGGAGTCCAAGTATCTGACTCATGTTGCGGTCTCAGGCCTATCACTCTACCTTTCACTGCCTCATGGGCCATTTATCAAGGGGATATAATAAAAATTAGTTATCTCAGAAAGTATGGATTAACTAAACTTTGTGAAACTCTTAGAGATCGTCAGGTGGAAAGGGTTTGAAAGAAGCTGGTTATTGGTCTGAATTCCTTTTTCCTTTTTTTCCCCCCTTCAGTTCACCTGCTGCTTCCCCAGGGACTGAGAACAGTAGAAGTGAATCTCGACATTCTCTTTCTGGACCCAGAAGGCAGCCAGTACAGCCGATGGCGCCGCATCCCATACTGAAAGGCAGGGTTGTCTTGGTGATAGCTTTGGTGGTAGTCATTTTCCTTCTTCCAGTAGAACATGCTGGGATTGAATCTTTGCATCTTGTGGGTTTGGGGAGTCCATTCATGAACATTAAAATTTCTGTGACCTACAACTGAATCATCTTACATAATTCACTCATGAACTCTTTGAACTCGAGAATTTTAGGGCACATTTTTCATATTGCAAATGTCCAGGCCCAGTGGGATTGTTTGTATGGATGTAGACACGTTCCCACCGTGTTCTCCTGTGAGTAGCAAGAGAAATCACAGTCTGAGATGGGTAGACACATGAGGAGTAGATGCATCAGAAAGCACCATTACTTTCTTTCTGCCTCTCTGCCAACCTTTATGACCTTTGCAGGCAGTGTACATAAAATTGCTTAAAGGTGTATCAGATTTCCATAATTTGGAATTTGGATCGTGGGGATTTAAAAAAAAAAAAAAAAGTGTGACAAATTACACTAATGAGAAAACTCTGAGGAGGTGCTAAGAGTAAACATTGAAAAGATCACCTGTCATTTGATAACAGTGTATTTCGTTAGCATGAATATATTTGTCAGTTTATCCAAGTTAAGGTATTATGCCATTTCATAATGAGTTGTGCCTTTATAATAGCCTTTTACTAATAAAATCTAGAAACTGGACATTTTAGTTTATAATACTCTTGATACACATAGAAAACCATATTTAAGCAAAATAATACTAAGAATAGAATCATTCTTTAAAAACCACCTAGTGACTCTGTTAAATGGTCTTACTCAATTTAAATACTGTATATGCATTAGTCTATGTTAGTAGACACTTTGAAGATTATGTTGTGGTTTGTAAATCTGTGCTTTTTTAAAATTGTGGCAAGATTGTTGCTCTAACAAGAAGTGATATTGTCTGAAGGATGTTGTGCCTGAAGATAATTCCTACTAAAAAGAAGTGGACAATCTTTGTATTGGCTATCTGCCAGGACAGCAGTTCATGCCATCTTTGTCTACCCAAGGTTGATCAGGAAATGCCTACTTTATTTAATTTCAAATGCTCAAATATGTGTGTGTAACTATATATATAGTTAATGTTACGTGCCGTTGAATTGGTTCCAACTCATAGCGACCCTGTGTAGGATTTCCAAGGAGCAGCTGGTGAGCTTGGAGTGGCAGGTGAGCTTGAACCGCCAAACTTGTAGTTCAAACAACCAGCTATATATATATATGTGTGTGTGTGTGTGTGTGCGTGTGTGTATATATATATATTGTTGTTCTTAAGTGCCATCAAGTCGGTTCCAACCCATAGCGACCTGCATAGGGTTTCGGTTTCCAAGGAGTAGCTGGTGAGCTTGAACTGCTGACCTTGCAGTTCAAACCAACTGGAGTATTAATGTACTGGACCATTGGACTGCGCAACATGAGGCATTTTATATATATATAATTTTTTGTTGTCGTTTCAGACTACTTTTCAAGTAGCTTTTAATGATTGTTGTGGTTGTTAAGTGCCATAAAGTCGGTTCCAACTCATAGTAACCCTGTATATGGTTTCCAAGGAGTGGCTAATGGGTGTAAACCATGGACCTTGCAGTTAGCAGTCCAGTGCTTATTCTACAGCAAGCTGTAGAAAAAATAGGGAAACAGCATATTTCTAGAGCCTCTGCTTTTGAAGGACCTCTTACCTTGATCCTGTGGTCTGTTTTTTCCTTCTTAAAGACACACCCACCATCTCTGGCTGCCTTACTACGCTGTTTGCAGCAAAGGATGTACTTATATCTATCTGTAAGAAACATTCGTCTGGTTAGTTTTTTGTTTGTTGACTCTTAAAATTGGAGCTTAAATTTTCTTCTTTTTAACATGGCTCAGGGAGCTGGTTTAGGGGAGCAGAACTCTGATACCCCTCCCACCCATACCCCCTTCTGTGAAAGTCCCAAGTGATTACAGAGTCATATTATCAGACCATCTTGCACATTTGCTTCTTTTGGATCGATATTTAGTAGACTGTCAAGAACACAAGTCTGACACTCAAATTCGTTCAGATGCCAGTTCTCCAAATGACTGGTACAGTTCCATTTCCTGCCCATCTGGTGATCCAACCCTTAAAACGAGATTAAAATGTATTCATCGTGACCCCAAACTTTAGTTTGTTTGTTGTTGCTACATATACAGACATATGTACAGAGATTTAATGAGGCTTGAGGAATGATTTGAAGAATGATTCTATTCTCAAAGTATTTGCTAGCTATCATTAAAGTTTTCTAGTCATCAGATGTATTGTCAAGTCAAAGTTCTGGTTTCTGGGTTTCAAGTACTAAAAGCCTTTCATCAAGGCGTATCTTATTTAAAGCAGTAAATAGTTATCCTAGTAGAAATATAAATGAAAACAACTAATCTACACATTGTCCATCACTGCTGAGGCTGGGATTGTAGAACTTTAACCTAGAGATTATATTTGAATGCATAATACATCTCTGTTTTTGAGATGGTGAACACTCAGCTTGCAAGAAAACTCTAATGACGATAATGCTAAATTCTACTCTGAAGTGGAGACATCTCTTTTGCAGAGTTTCTCTTATTTTTAATATTGGAACTCTGTTACTGTTTTCTAGCCATGGAAGAGAGAGCAATTCAGCGAGCTGAACGTAGGCGGATCTTGGCTGAGAAGAAGAGAAAACAATCAGAGGACAAATTGGTAATAAATACAGAGTACAAACTGAAGCAACAAAAGGGACTTGTATAGGTCTTTATGAAAACATGAAATCTTGTTTGTTCAAGCCTCTTGAGACAGTAGAGCTAAACTAACTCTGGAAACAATCTTTTATCTACTGGCATTAACTTTGTGACGATTTTAATACAAGCATGTGGGGAGGGGGAGGCACATCAACATCATTTATGTAACAGAAAGAAAATATTATAAAACTTGATGGGAGCCATCAAATTGGGAGATTGGCACATAACCAAAACTTTAGCGTATTTTAGGTGAATGTCCACCCTAGTAAGTTTGCAAGAAAAACTTAATATTTTGTAAGGGAAACTTTTTGTTTTCCAAAGTTTGACTTTATTATAAGAGTCCAGACTGCCAGAAACAAATGGTTGTGGCTAGCAAGAAAAAATGCACAATTCCAAGAGTGACTTTTTGGTGAAATGAGAGAAAACTTTTTTTTTTTTTTTTTGAATTTTACAGTTCAAATTAAGAATCAAAAACTCACCATTATATGATGAAAAATTGCCTTATTCATCCTCAGTCTCACCTTCCAAAATTGAAAATCATTCTTTTGGAGAAACCTTTAAATGTCATAACAGAGCACACATTAGTGAGGTTTTCCACTTTTATTAGAAAATACAGACTTCTCCCAGAGATGGGCTGGTCACTGTGTGTAATACATGCTTGAGTTTCCTCAACATTAGAGACCTTATTTCCTTACATAATGATAGTTCTGATTTTTATACATTGTAATCTTCATCAGGCCCAATTAAAGGCCCAAGAGGAGGAGCGTCAGAAGAGGGAAGCAGAAGAAAAGGAGGCTCAGCTTAAAAGAAAACGAGAAGAAAAGAGACTGAAAAAAATGGTTAGTAGAGTCTGATGATTCAACTCACGTCTCTTGTGTGTGATTCTCTGGCCCTATGCTCCTGTCCCACTCCAGAACTTCTGTCTGGAACACTCTTCCCATCACTGCTCTGTTTTTTAAATGTCATTTTCAGATCTTAACACATTCTTCCAGATTAGTCTTTCCTACCCTGCCCCAGCATTCAAGGTTAGGTTAGGTCCCACCTTATGGACTCTCATAAAGCTACCTTTCCTCTAGAGCATCACCAGTACTTGTAATTACACATGTATTTTATGGTTATTTAATTAATTTCTGCCTCCCCAACAACTGTAATCTCCATAAAAGCAAAGGGGCCAGTCTAGTGTCAGTTACTAGTGTATAGGCTAGCAGTGTGCCTGCTGTATACTTGGATCCAGGAAACATATGTTGAATAAATGAATAAGTGATCAAACAAGCAAGTGGAAGAAAACACACACAAAAAAAATGTGAGACAAAATTCTTGCATTAAGTTATTAAATTCTACTTGGAAAGATAAGACTGAAAAGATGCAGACCTGTTAGTATAGCGTATGCAGTCTTCTGCTACACAGGCCATTTTAAATTTAAATTTAATTCCATTCTAGTGCAGGAATGTGCACTGTAGTAATTCTACTCTCTTAAGTTTGGCTAGTTTTGTTGTATGATCAAGACTGTGATCTGTCTTGATGACTGTTTTATGTGCCCTTGAGAAGAATCTATTCTGTTATTGTTGCAGTTTCCTGTAAATGTCAATTAAATTAGTTGCTTGATAGTGCTATTCAGGTCATCCGTCTCCTTACTGATTCTCTCTCTACTTTTTTACCAACTATCAAGAGAGTGTAAGGCCTTGACTAATGTTGTATATTTGTCGATTTTTCCATTCAGATTTATCCATTTCTGTCTCATGTGTTTTGAAGATCTGTTTATTAGGTGTATACATGTTAGGAAAGGTTTACACATCTAAGTCTTTATATATGAAATGGTTTTTTTTAGACATGTAGCTGGGTCTTATATGTTAACTTACTATCTGTGTCTTTTGACTGCTGTGTTTAAATCTTTCACACTTAAAGATTTGTTGTTATTGTTGTTGTTGTCAAGTGCCATCGAGTCGATTTCCGACCCATAGCGACCTTGTATAGGGTTTCCAAGGAGTAGCTGGTGAGCTTGAACCGCCAACCTCACAGTTCAAACGGCTTTGCAGTCTGGTGCATTAACCCACAGCGCCACACCAGTGCTGTCAAATCATTTATGACTCTTAGTGACCCTGTATAGGGTTTTCAAGGAACAACTGGGGAGCTTGAACTGCTGACCCTGCAGTTCAAACCTACCTGTGGCCTTGTGCTTATCCTACAGTGTCACACCAGGTCGCCAATGTATATTGATATATATTAATATGTTGTTGTTGCTAGTGCCATCGAGTTGGTTCTGATTCATAGCAACCCTATATAGAGTTTCCAAGGAGTGACTGGTGAGTTTGAACCACCAACCTTATGGTTTAAACCAACCCTGCAGTCCAGTGCTTTGTCCCACAGTGCCACACCAGGACTCCACATACTGATATATTTGGATTAAGGTCAACCGTTTTGTAAGTTGTTTTCTATTGTATTTGTTCTTTGTTTTTTCTCTTATGCTGCCTTCTCTGTTTTAATTGAGCATTTTTATTATTCCATTTATCTCCTCTATGGAGTTCTAGTGTGGTACTTTAGGATAAACCCACTGCCTGCTCCTTGGAAACCCTATAAAGGGTCACTATGAGTCAAACAACAACAACATGGATTAATTATTTACTCTTTTCAAAACATTTTTAGTGGTTGCCCTAGGTTTGCAATTACATTAAAAAAATAATAATAACCTTCATCTACCTTCAAATAGGGGTCCTGGTGTGGCGCTGTGGGTCAATGCGCCAGCCTGCAAAGCCGGTTTGAACTGCAAGGTTGGTGGTTCAAGCTGTTGTTGGTTCACCAGCTGTTCCTTGGAAACCCTATACAGGGTCACTATGGGTCAGAAATGACTCAAAGGCAATTAACAACAACAATCTTCAAATAAGTCCTTGTATGGCACTGTGGGCTAATGAGTCAGACTGCAAAGTCATTTGAACTGCAAGATCGGTGGTTCAAACCCACCAGCTGCTCTTTGGAAACCCTATACAGAGTCACTATGGTTTGGAATCGACTTGATGGCACTTAACAACAACAACAGCCTTCAAATAATACTATACCAACTCATAGAAAGAAAGGGCATTCTTTATTTATTGTTGTTAGTAGCTGTCAAGTTGATTCTGACTCATGGGTATCTTATATATGCCTACTAGAACTGCTCCACAGCATTTCAGAAGCAGACCTCCAGGCTTGTCTTCCAAGGCACCACCAAATTTCCACTATAGAATTATAATAGGCTTCTTAGAAACCATGCAGATAAGATCATAACAAACTAATATCTTGAAAGTTTTCAAAAAAACAATTGTCAGTCCAGAATTCTGTATCTAAAGAAAATTTCCCTCAAAAGTAAAAAAGAAACAAAGACTTTCTTGGACAAACAAAAACTGAGGGAATTCTCTGCCACCAGACCAACATACAAGAAATGTTAAAGGAAGTTCTGTAAGCAAAAAGAATATGATATAGGTTAAAAACCTAGTTTTGCACAGAGAAATGGAAATGTACAGGAATATGACAGGACATTGTACCAATATATTTCCATTTCCTCCCACCCAACTTTTCTGCTTTTGTTGTTACATGTATAACCTATATTTTGTTTGTATGTATACTATAAACAACCAAAACACTGATACTGTTGTTTGTTTAAGTAGTCAGTTATCTTTTTTCTACAACTAAAAATATTCTATTTTTGTCTTTCTTTCTTTCCTTTTTGATGTTTTCATCTTGTTCCACTTTGTTTGTGGGTGCTTGGCTACTAACCAGACCCACCAGCAGCTGATTGGGAGAAGAACCTGCCATTCTTCTTGGGAAAGATTACAGTCTGGAAGACCTTTTGGGGCAACTCTCCTCTGTCGTGGGGGATCACTATGTGTTGAAAATCAACTGAATGACACCTAACAACCATATTTTCAACTACTTGGTACCTTTTTTGACTGTGTCACATCTGATAAGACTATTGAGGGTGTTCTTTATTTCTATTACTGTGGTTTTTTTTTATTTCTAGCATTTTCATTTGATTCTTACAGTATTCCATGTATCTGTTAAAATAACCTATCTCATCCTTGAATGATGTCTACATTTTCCCTTGAAGCCTTTAACATATTACATGTTTTTGTGTGCTGTCGAGTCGGTTCTGACTCATAGTGATCCTGTATAGGGTTTTCTGAGCCTTTAAATATTTGCAGGAGTGGAAAGCTACATCTCCACTGTGAAGAGGCTGGTGGACTTAAACTGCTGACCTTGTGATTCATAGCTCAGGGCTCATTGTATGTTATCTAAAATATTCTGATTGTTTCAACATATCTATTATGTTGAATTGTGTTGTAATCATTGCTTTCTCTCTCCCAATGGCGTTTTTGCTTGTTTTAGGTTATATCTTATTTTTTTGTTGTTGAAAAGCCAACATGCCATCCTGTGTAGTAGATGCTTAGATAAATAGGCCTTTAATGTGGAAATCTGTGATCATCTGGCCGGGAATTGGGATATGTTTGAAGTCTGTTGTCCCTGTGGTTACCAGCTTTGAGATTTGTTGTTGTTATGAGCACCAGAGACTTCAGTTTCCTCTAGTGACTTTGTTTTATCTCCTCTTTTGGCTTTGAGTCTTTCCTTTGTGTTATTCCCCAGAGTTAAGTCCCTCTCTTGCAGATTTCCACAACTATGCTTTGCTGTAGTTACCGGAAGCTTCGTAGTATGATAGTGAGGTGTGGAGGAGAAAGGGAGGCATTTTCTAATGTTCTGAGTAACTCTCACTCTTTGGAATGTACAACATTGGACACTCACAAGTTTTTGGCCCCTACTCTGTGGTGAAGTTTTTCCATGCACCACTGTTTCCTCTCTTCAGCGGCAGTGGGCATTCCAGAGTCTTGATCTATGATTTAAGGGTCTTCTCCCAATTGCAGTTGCTTTTGATTAGATTCCAATTCATGGTGAACACTATATGTGTCAAAGTAAAACTGTGCTCCATAGGATATTCAGTGGCTGCCATTTCAGAAGTGGGTCAGGAGGCCTTTCTTCTGAAGTAGGGGGACTCAAATCTGTAATCTTTCAGTCAGCAGATGAACTTGTTAACTGTTTGAGCACCCAGGAACTTTATCTTTTTCTTACTTCCCCTTATAAAGTAGTGTTCCTTTGCTTTTTGTTTTTCTTCCTCCTCTTAGACTGGTCTACAGAGAGTCCCCTTAGCTCCTACCGCCTACATAGCCCATCAGTAAATTCAGGTGTGATCCTTTGCCCCGCAGATTAGTCCTTTTGTTTCTGAAGAGAGTATGGTTTGGGAAGATTCTGTTGTAGCTGCTGTTCCTCTCTTTCAAGCAGAACCACTTGCAAGCATTCCGGAGGGAAATGCTTGCAAAGTGTATTGTTGTTGTTATTGTTAAGTGTCCTCAAGTTGGTTTTTCTTAGTGTTTTATTGTGAATTTGTGGTCATTTACATAGGAGAACATTAGCTTTATGTTCATCCTATTGTTCGTTTCATTGCCATGGTTACAACCCCTCCATGCATCATCAGCCAACCAAAGGGTATACTCTGCAAGCCTGCCCCCCCC